TCAGCTCTCTCTAAGCAGTTTACAGATTTTTAGCAAATTGAATCAGCAAATTGCCCCCACAGTCTGGGTCCTCATTTCACCCACCTCGGAAGGATGGAAGGCTGAGTCAACCTTGAGCCGGTGAGATTTGAACCGCTAAACTGCAGATAACAGTCAGCTGAAGTGGCCTGCAGTACTGCACCCTATCCACTGCGCCACCTCGGCTCTTAGATAGATAGATGCAGCTTGCTTAATCTCCCATTCTTTTGCAATATTACAGTATCTGTCACTGAGTTTTATGTGGCCAACAACCATATAGGAAATATTTTGAAAGGACCTGGGGGGTTACAGAAGGAATGAAGAGCTTTCTAGATCAGAAATATTCTACAGATGGGAAAAGTTGGGAAGAAACTGTGGGAAGAAAATCCTGGATCCATACCCATCCATTTCCAGTTTTCACTTCTCAAGATATTGATCCCGGCCTGCAGATAAAGCCGGTTTTCAAGCAATAACATGCTACAGCGAGTATCCCCAATTTGGTGAATTATTGCATTTACAAAAGGATTAAAAAAAAACACCCCACAGAACAGTTTTCTGAATTCTTGCCATACTGAACTTTTGGATATACAGTGATATACATCATACGACTGTGAATATTTCTCATATATTCACCCAATCCTTCTAAGATTGCATCTGTGTCTGCCACTCTCCAAACTCTTGAGTATTCTCCATAACACACATAGTGACTTTTTCATGCCCTTCTAAAGAAATCACCAAACTCATTTACATTTCCAGTATGTATCAAAAAGTTAAACTCTGAAAATCACAGGTCTGTATAAGAAAATGGTGGCCAAATGTATTCCTGTGATCAATAGCAATAGCGCTTAAGACTTATATACCGCTTCACAGTGCTTTTACAGCCCTCTCTAAGCGGTTTACAGTCAGCATATTGCCCCCAACAATCTGGCTGCTCATTTTACCGACCTCAGAAAGATGGAAGGCTGAGTCAACCTTCAACCAGTCAAAATCGAACTCCCAAACTGCCGGCAGTCAGCAGAATTAGCCCGCAATACTGCATCCTAATCATTGCGCCACCACATCATGTGATAAAGTCATTTTTGAAACATATCTGCAAAGTGGAATGTGACCACATCTGAGATTAGAGGAAAGAAACTCCCACATGCTCTTTCCTATCTTTCTACATAGCCATGGATCAAAATCATCCAGCATCACCACTCAGAAAAACTTGTTGTTAAAGTGAAAGCAGCAACACGTTTTTTCAAGCGCACAAACCGCAGGCAGAGGAGATACCTCAGTATCTAAGGAGTTGAAAGAAGACAAGGTAATTTGTCTGGCTAGCTTCAGGGCTTCTATCCTCATTGCAGCAAATTCTAATTCCTCCTGCCAGTGAGATGATTGTGACAATGTGCAAGGAAAATCCATTAAGCACGATGCAAAGAGTTACAGAATACATTAGTACCATTGTTTTACGATATTGCATACATATTCGCTGACGTCCACCTACTCTACTAGGCCATGATGGGTTTTAACTACCTATGACTGAAGAAACCACAATGGCTGATCCACCAAGACAAGATGCTAAGCCGAGAGAGTTACATTATAGGTCAATTTGATGCAAGATTTAAGGAGAAATGACATGAAATGTTTAACATGCAACCTGAAACCACCTCTCTTAATTTTTTTTCATTCAATTAATCATAAAACTGTTTCTGATGTGCATTTATTCCCCAGGGAGCTCATCACACATACCTGAGCTGTAGCTATAAACTACATATTGAATGTTTACTTTCAGTGAAACATTACCAAAACAATTTTTAGAAAGGGTGTTTATAGTTAAGCAGAGCTAAACACTGTTTAGTTATAGCTGACAAGGGGAAGGGGAGGGGGAGAATGTCAAAATCTGCAAGATGGCAGATACAGCATCGCGACTGCGTTCATCTCGCATAATCACAGAGCTGGATAGATGAAATGAATATAATATAAAGATGTAGACCAACCATTCACATGGGAGATAATGAATTATTGGAAAGGAAGGTGTAAATATGTGAAACTATTTAAAATCAATATATTATACATCCTTTTTCTCTGTAAATAAACTAATTCAGTGTGTGTGCGTGTGTGTGTGTGTGTGTGTGAGAGAGAGAGAGGTGGGTTCCTACCAGTTCGCACCTATTCGGTAGAACCGGTTCGTCAAATCTACCAAACCAGTGGACCAAACCAGTTCCACCAGTGGACCCGGAAAGCAGGCCACACCTACAGAAGAGGTTCCAAATTTTTTTGAAACACACCACTGGTCCTTGGATAT